CTGATTCTGTGATTCTATGAACTCGTGGATTTTGTGCTTGCTGGGTAACCAAGGCCTCTCCCTCCGTGTGCTTTGTTGCAGACAAGGATGCAGAGCTTGCAGCCGGACCCCAAAGCCCAGTACAGGAGCGTGTACGAAGCTCTGAAGAAGATTGTCCTCACTGAGGGGCTCTGGAGGCCTTTACGTGGGATTAATGTCACCATGCTGGGGGCTGGCCCTGCCCACGCCATGTACTTTGCCTGCTATGAGAAAATGAAAAAGTCCCTCAGTGACACTCTCCAGCAGGGAGGAAACAGCCACCTGGCCAATGGTATTTTGGGGGGTTTGTCACCCCAAAAAAAAAAACCCCACCCCACTTGTGGTTTTGTCGCTTGCTTCCCGCCTTCCCTGTGCTCTGCTCCTGGAATTTCTGCTCCAGGCAGCCAAATAATCCCCCTGGGAGGAGGCAGGAGGCGAAGAGGTGGCACCTGCCCCCGGGTTGAGCCCTTCTTGGTGGTCACCTTGTTCCTCTGACACCCCTGGCCTGCCCTGGCACTGGGCAGTGCTTGGCAGGTCTCTCTTCCAGAGGGTGGAGGTGGCTGGGCTGGGTGTCAGCAGTGGAGTGGAGAAGCCCTTCCTGACCCCATGGCACTCGTGTTTGCCCTCCAAATTCAGTCTGTTTTATGTTCCTGCACTGCTCTTTAACCTCCAAATATCCCAGCACGAGTCCTCAGTGCAGTGGACAAGAGGTGTTCAGGTGCAGTTGTGCTGTTTCTGTGTTATCACAGAACCATTAAAGTTGGAAAAGGCCCTCAGGATCATCCAGTCCAGCCTTTGAAGGTGTCCCCTAAAGGTATAACCTTGTGTTGAAGGCATCACTCCAACCTCTGGGAGCTCAGGTTGTTCCAGCTGTCCCTGGGAGCTCCAGCATGAAGTGCCCTCCTCCATCCTCTGTGTGCTCAATTTGGCTTTTCTCAGGAATATTTTGCTTTTCAGCCCAGGAATGCCTCTGTAACAGCAGAAACCCTTTAAATGAACAGCCAGGGTGTTAGAAAAAGGTTTGTGCAGGAGACCTGACATGGTGTGAGAGCAGGAATCTGCCGTGGAGTCACTTGGCTCAGTTCAGGGAGTAAAACATCTTTCTTCTTGCTGCTTTTTGCCAGGAAAACGCTTCCCATGTTTGCCTTTCAAGTAGCTACAGGCTTTTGGTACCAAGCAGGAAAACTGGAGCTCTGGGTTAATGAGAAATGACCAAAAGTCATTTGGGCAAGAGAGAATTCGAGGTGGGAACCCAGATCAAAGGGGAAGGTGTGGCTGGAGAGGCCCTTCCTGGAGCCAACTGCAGGATCGTTCATGGCTGGTTGGACTTGGCAGAATGTGGGCAATTAGTGCTTGAAACACTGAGTAAAGGCCTGAAAACCCTAATTATGGATCTGCTGAGGTGGTTGCAAACATTGCTCATGTCTCAGTCATTTTGGGGGGGGGGGTTGTGGCGTGGACAAAACCCTGGGAGTCGTTGGGAATAGTGGCTGTGAGTCCATCCTGGTGTCCGTGGGGGCTGCTCTGGGTGGCTTTTGCTGCCCTGGGTGTCATTACAGTGTCCCTGGGTGCTCCCACAGCTGCCTCCATGGGTGGCAGTGCCCGGGCAAGCCCTGGCTCCTGTTTGCCTTTCTCAAGGCTGCTCTTGCCTTGCAGGGATAGCTGGGAGCGTGGCCACGCTGCTCCACGACGCCGTGATGAATCCTGCCGAAGGTAAGCCCTGGGAAAGGCAGGGCTGCACCCCCTGGGGGCAATAATAAAAAATACACAGTCACTCTAGTTCCAAGCAGCAAGACAGGAGAGGGATAGAACAGGACAGGATGTTTATTGCAGCAGATCTCTGACATTTATACTCCTCGGTGTAACGTACACGTTGCTTTATAATTGTTGTTTCTTAGGATTTGCTGCCCTGTAGCAAACTCACCATAACTTAGCATTTGTGGGCACTCAACCCTGATGATTCCCCTTTTTTTTAAATTTTTAAATTGAAAAACAAGGTTTGGGAGAAACTTGTGAGGTTGGGTGTAGAAGGAGATGTTGGGTCTGGTGGCTCAGTTTGGACGTGGAAGGTGAGGTTGGGTCTGGGTGGCTCAGTTTGGGTGGTGTGGAAGGAGATGTTTGGTTTGGGGGGTGTGGAAGGAGCTGTTGGGTCTGAGTGGCTCAGTCTGGATTTGGAAGGTGAGGTTGGCTCTGGGTGGCTCAGTTTGGGGGGTGTGGAAGGAGCTGTTGGGTTTGGGGAGTGTGAAAGGAGCTGTTGGGTCTGAGTGGCTCAGTTTGGACTTGGAAGGAGCTGTTGGCTCTGGGTGGCTCAGTTTGGGTGTGGAAGGCGAGGTTGGCTCTGGGTGGCTCAGTTTGGACATGGAAGGAGCTATTGGGTCTAGGTGGCTCAGTCTGGGTTTGGAAGGTGAGATTGGCTCTGGGTGGCTCAGCTTGGGGTGTGGAAGGCAATGTTGGCTCTGGGTGGCTGTGGCTGGAGCAGGGCTCAGTCTGGGCTCTGAGATGCCCATCCCAGCTGTGTTGGAGCTCACAGCCCTCTCTCTCCCCCCATGCCCACCCTCCGCAGTGGTGAAGCAGCGGATGCAGATGTTCAACTCCCCGTACAAGTCGGTGCTTTCCTGCGTGAGGACCGTGCAGAGGACCGAGGGCTTCGGGGCCTTCTACCGCAGCTACACCACCCAGCTGACCATGAACGTGCCCTTCCAGGCCATCCACTTCATCACCTACGAGTTCATGCAGGAGCACATCAACCCTCGCCGCGAGTACAACCCCCGGTCCCACATCGTGTCCGGGGCCGTGGCGGGCGCCGTGGCCGCCGCCGCCACCACCCCCCTGGACGTCTGCAAAACCCTCCTGAACACGCAGGAGAACACGGCCCTGAGCTCCCTCAACATCAGCGGGCACCTCTCGGGCATGCTGAACGCCTTCAGGACCGTCTACCAGCTGGGGGGGCTGCCTGGCTTCTTCAAGGGGGTCCAAGCTCGGGTCATCTACCAGATGCCCTCGACGGCCATCGCGTGGTCGGTGTACGAGTTCTTCAAGTACTTCCTCACAAAGCACAAGCTGGAGAAAAGAACATCCTTGTGAAGGTTGGGCAGGAGCCTCGGTGGCCCCTCTGTGTGTCCCCTCTGCGTGTGTCACCCCCCTCCAACCAGCTCTGGGACACACATCCCACTGAGGAACGTGCCCGAGATCCTATCGGATTCCCATCCCGACATCCAGGGGAGGTCCTGGGTCCTCCTGGCTTTAAACAAAAAGTTTATAAAGACTTCTAATAATATATATATATATATTTAATAACTTTATTTTCGGAGGAGCCAACTTGCCAACTGCTATTTTTTTTTTTCTTCTGGATAAGATTGAAGGTGTAGTTTCCTCCTTTTCCTTAGGTTGGACAAAACCTAAGCTGGGTGGGTTGTTTGGGGTTTTTTTGGTTTGTTTTTTGTTTTTTTTTTTTTTACAGCAGAGAAGCAGAATATCCTGTCACAGAACTTAACTTTTATAGAAATATAAAAGAGGTGGATAATGTTTATCCTTTATTTTTCTATGGAAGCATTTGGGTTGTTTTCTAAAAAATGCTATTACAGCTGGACGTGAAGCTGTTTAAAAAGGGCTGAATTCTTCCATCCCGTGCGAGGAAGACACAAAAGCATTTATTTTTATAGCCAGATTGGCTTTAATTTTACAGCATTTAACCCCCAAATGGTGGCCTGGATTCTCACCTGGGTGCCAGGTACTTGGTGGCCCCTTGAGACTTGTTGGGATGGGGGGGAGAAGGAATTTTGGGGAGCACCCCGAAATCCCTGGTCACTTTGGGGTGGGGGTGGAAAAAGGGGAAAACTCCTTTCCATTTTTTACAAGGAGACTCTTTAAGATGTAGATTTTATAAAGTACTTATTTTGCAGACACTCTTATTTTTAAAGGTACATTTTTATGGCGTGTGACAGCTGAGCAACCTTCATCCTCCCTTAATTTATTCCCAGTTTTCTCCCTAAAGCCCTGATCCTGCTGCCAGGGAGTGACCTGGGCTCCGAGTGGGTCCATGGAGCTGCTCTGCTCCCGGGAAAAGGGGGGGGCACCTGGAGCTTCTGTTTACAGTTTGGCCCCTGAGTTGCAGGGGTCACATCCTGGCAGCTCCCAAACCAGCAGCAGAAACCTTGGGAAAGCCTTAGGGAAGAACCAAAGCCACCTCCCAGCTTGTGTTTGATGAGGAGCTCTGTTGAGGAGGGGGAAAAAATCCACCCTGGGGGAGGAAAACCCACCCTGAGGGGGGAAAACCCACCCTGGGGATAGAAAAATCCACCCTAGGGAGGCAAAAAATCCATCCTGGGGGGAAAAAAATCTACCCTGGGGGGAAAAATCCACCCTGGGAGGAGGAAAACCCACCCTGGGGAGAGAAAAATCCACCCTGGGAGGAGGAAAACCCACCCTGGGGAGAGAAAAATCCACCCTGAGGGGAGAAAAACCTACCCTGGGGAAGCAAAAAATCCACCCTGGGAGGGGAAAAATCAACCCTGGAGGGGGGAAAAATCAACCCTGAGGAGAAAAACCCACCCTGGAGGAGGAAAACCCACCCTGGGGAGGTTCCTCGTGCCCTGGGTTTGGTTTTTCTGCTGTGGGAATGCTGAGCTTTGGGGCAGGGTGGCAACCTCCCTGTGTGCCCTGCTCCTCCTGGGAATGGCTCTCCCAACCCAAAATCCTCCCCCCTTTAGCCCCTTGGGTGATCCAGGAGGGATTTGAGGAGCCTGGATGTGCATCCAGAAGTTCCAGGGCACCAGCTGGTCCATCCCCACCCTCCCTGGGACTTTGCCCTGCTCTGCACCCTGGGATGTGGCTTTGGGAGCAGCTTTAGGGCTGGGATGTGTCCCTGGAATGTCCCACCAGCCAGTTGTGTCCCTTAGGATGACACTAATCCCATCTAATCCCTTTGCTCTGGTTTTTTTTTTCTGGAGCAGGTGAATCCAAGAGCTCCTCTCTGTGCCTTGTGTAAATGAACCTCGTGGGGAAACGAGCTTTTCTCGATGCTTTAATTTTTTTGTCTTTAAAGGAACTAATCACTGTGTCAAACTCACCCTGTGTCTTAAAAGTGGGAAAGTTCAGCTGGTTTTGCACTGAGTGTTTCCAGGGAGGTGAAATTTTGGGGTCACTTTAATGCTGAAGAGGCAAATTGTAGCATCCTGGGGGTGATGGCAGCTTTTAGTGCCAGTGCAGGAGTAAAACTTGGAGTGGTGCCTCCTGCATCACCCCCTTCCTCTGGCTGCTGCTTGGATATTCCTGCCTTCCCCTTTGGGCTTCTGGGAGAGCCTCATCTCCTCCTTGGAGCCTGGATTTGCCTGTGGAGAAGTCAGGATGTTGGTTGAGTTTTTGGCCAGCTGAGCATCTCCTCGGAGAGGGAAGAACAGGGGAACCTCCTGAGTGTTGAGCACCAATAATTAATAATTATGAACAAATAATTATTAATTAAACCCCGGGTTTTCTTGGGAACTTGCTCTTCCTTGAGCCGGGAAGGGATTTAATAATCAAAACCCAGCTTTTCTTGGGAATTTGCTCTTCCTCGAGCTGGGAGTGGATAAGGAGCACTTGGACATTTATCCAGGCTCTCCCTGGATTTCTGGCTCTCCCATAAAACCAGCCCAGCTGGGGTAATAACTGCAGAGGTCTCTTCCTTCCAGCAGGAAGCCTTTTCCTGATGCTGGATCCCCCTTCCCAAAGCCCCTCCTCTCTTTTAGTTTGCATTTGAAAGCTGAGCTTTGAGCCTGAAGTTTGATTTTTTTTTTAGCCTGTGAAACATGTTCTGCTGCTTCCTCTGCAAGAAACGCACATCACTCCTTATTTAAGGGGAGGAACTTTGCAGTTCTTCAGTTGTATTGTTTTTTTGGGGGGTTGGAAAAAAAAGTGTTCTCTTTTAAATGTGTATTTAACAATGCAGGAGTTCTTTTGTGAGATGCTGCTACAGTTGTTATCACTGGAGCTCAAGGAAATAAAATATCCCGATTTTTGCGCTGGTGGGGCTCGTGTTTGGGGGGTTTTCCTTGGGAGCTGAGGGCGGGGAAGGCTCTGCCAGGCTGATCCCTGAGGGAATGGTGCCTTCTAGTGTCGCCGGAGCACTTGGCAGGCTCAGCTCCTCCGACCCTTTCGTCATCAGTGGAGGAGGAAAATCCTTCTGGGAGGGGTTTTCCAGCCTGGCAGGAGCTGCCAACTCTCCTGAAAGGGCTCACCCTCCTCTAGGAGCCGCTGGAGAGTTTTGGAACGTGATGCTCTTGGCGAGGAATCGCTGCTGGGATTTCCAAACCCAACCCACAGACTGTGGCTCGTTCAGCAAATTCCCAAATTGCAGGTTTTCTTCCCTCCCCCTCCTTGGATAAAGTGGAGGCCCTGGGGAGCTGCACTTGCTGAGGTTTCACTCCTTCTGCTGCAGAATTTGAAGGGAAAACCCCAGAAGACTTGAATAAAAAGAAAAAAAAAACACATTTCTTGGTGCAGGTTCAGTGCTGAGGGAGGAACAGTTCCCTGGGAACTGGGCTGAGCAGCATCCCCATAATCTGAGGGATAACCCCTCCCCAGGGCTTGGCCAAGGTGGGCTCTAAAGGGGGAAAAAAAATGGGAATTTTAACCAAAACATCAAAATGATAAAATCTCCATTGTGGGGGGACTCTTTCAGCTCCAGGTGGGAAACATTCCTGGCTCCTCCCAGGGATTTGTGGGGCCTGAGCAGCCTGGTCTGGACCACAGGATTCCTGAGGCTGGAGCAGGTGCAGGAGCAGGAATTCCTCATCTTTTTGGGGGTTATTTTTTGGCCCCAGTTTGGTCTTTTTTTCATCTATCCAAAGTCTACCTGATTTCTCAGGCAGTGCCAAGATGTTTTGCCGGGATTGTTAGAGGTGAGAAGGAGGGAAAAAAGAGGGAGTAGAGAGGAAAAGGACCTGGAAGACCCCCCAGATCCTACTGACCATGCTGGGAAGAGTCAAAATGAGGAATCTGATCCTGGGAAACTTTGGGGATGTCTCCTGATTCTGGGGAAACTTGTTCCTGGTTCTGTGAAACTTTGGGGATGGCTCCTGGTTCTGTGATATCTCAGAGCTTGGAGGGAGAAATCATGGAATGCTGGGATGGTTTGGGTTGGAAAGGACCTTAAAGAAGATCTCATGGGCAGGAACACCTTCCACTATCCCAGGCTGCTCCAACCTGGCCTTGGACACTTCCAGGGATCCAAGAAATTCTCTGGGCAAAGAGCAGCTCCAGCGGGTGCCCCCGGGGTGGGATGTGGCATTCCTGATCCATTCCTTGACCCCGTCAGACACATTCCTGATCCATTCCCTGGTGTATTCCGTAATCTCAGCACAGACATTCCCAATCCATTCCCTGACCCCAGTACAGACATTCCTGATCCATTCCCTGACCCCAGCAGACATTCCCTGATCCATTCCCTGATCCATTCCCGATCCATTCCCTGCCCCATTCCCAGCCAGCCGGCTCCTCCAGGAGCTCCCTGCCCTTACCTGTGTCCGCTTCCCGGGCTGTCCCCGTGGCGTGGGATGCTCCCGTGGGATGGGGGCTCCCGGGGTGGTTGCCGGGGTTGGAGCCGCCCTCCCTCCCCTGCGCCGGGGCCGCTCCGCTCTCCCCATTCCCGGCGCTGCCAAACCCTCTGCTCCTGCCCCTCTCCAGCCGCGCTCCGCCCCATCCCAGAGGATGTCTTGGATGAGGAAGGATGTCCTGGGCCTGGAAGAGCTGCTGGGGGTCCGGGGGGGTGGGTCCGGCTCGTCGCTGTGGGAGCTCTGCCAAAAGCCCGGAGCCGGGATTTCCGAGCCGTTGGGTTAATCCAGGATCTGGGCCGTGTTTGTTCGCCGCATCCGATCGTTATCTTTTGTTTCTCCTCAAATATTGTCTCTGCTCTAAAAGGGGAACGGACATGAAGACAAACATCTCACCTTTTTCCCCTCCCCAAATTTTCATTAAGCTGCCCTGTTTGCCTTGGAGGACACGACACAGCCCGTGGAGGGGAAGGTTTTCCGGCCCCACCTTCCCCCCCC